AATACTTAGTTTTATGGAGAAATCTGTCTACAACTCAACTTTTAAACCATATTGATTGACATATTTAGATTAATAACAAAAGATACCTATACTGACCTCTACATGAGCTTTTTTTAGCCACGCTAGATGGGGTGTGGTTTGGAGTCACTGGCCCGTAGCTTGTAAATAAACTTATTAAGCATTTAAATACTTAGTTTGTGATGGAGAAATCTGTCTACAACTCAACTTTTAAATCATATTGACCGATATTTTTAGATTAAAAAAGACATATCCTTACCTCTATATAAGCTTTTTATCCACGATAGACAATTAACAAATTTATTAACTTCTAGTTAATAGCGAAATAATAAATTTAGAGAAAAATAAAATACAGTATTGTAATAAAAATAGAAAATATTTACATTAGACGAAGCCTTCTCTGAAGAGACGTCTGGATCTTATCAGGTGCTACAAGCCGCCCTGAGTGTGGACAGGCCCTTGCTTATTGTGCAGTTCTTGTCCTTAACGTGCTCAATGGCAATGTTGAGGAATTAGCACAGAATATTCTTGTGTTCAGGCGAGAGTATCTCGAGGACCTCCTTCTTCTCAGGGCGGTTTAGACACGAAAGATGAGGTGTAGTTATGAGTCACTGGCCCGTGTAGCTTAGAAATATAAACTTATTAAACATTTAAATACTTAGTTTGATTGATATATCTGTCTACAACGCAAATTTTAAACCATATTGACCGATATATTTAGATTAAAAACAAAAAAAAAGACATATCCTGACCTCTACATGAGTTTTTTAGCCACGCTAGATGGGGTTTAGTTATGATTCATTGACTCGTAGCTTGGAAATAAACTTATCAAACATTTAAATACTTAGTTTGATGGGGGGATATATCTGTCTACAACTCAAATTTTAAACCATATTGATTGATAAATTTAGATTAAAAACAACAAAAATAAAAGACATACACTGACCTCTACATGAGCTTTTTTAGCCACGCTAGATGGGGTGTAGTTATGAGTCACTGGCCCGTAGCTTGGAAATAAACTTATTAAATATATATTTTTTGCTTATTTCCTAGTACACGTGGTACAGGCCATGTTAATCGTGGTAGGTAGAAGTAGGCGACTGTTTTTACTGTAAGTGCACCACATGTCTACACATGTGAAAAGCAATTCGACTTTGCACTTACAAATGTACCAGAGCCCCGTTTGGTTACTTGCACTCACTGGTGGGGTTGATTAAACATATAAATACTTAGTTTGATGGAGAAATCTGTCTACAACTCAACTTTTAAACCATATTGATTGATATATTTAGATTTAAAAAGGCATATTCTTACCTTGACATATTTAGATTAATAACAAAAGATACCTATACTGACCTCTACATGAGCTTTTTTAGCCACGCTAGATGGGGTGTAGTTATGAGTCACTGGCCCGTGTAGCTTGGAAATAAACTTATTAAGCATTTAAATACTTAGTTTTATGGAGAAATCTGTCTACAACTCAACTTTTAAACCATATTGATTGACATATTTAGATTAATAACAAAAGATACCTATACAGACCTCTACATAAGTTTTTATTCACGATAGACAATTAACAACTTTATTAACTTCTAGTTAATAGCGAAATAATAAATTTAGAGAAAAATTAAAATACAGTATTGTAATAAAAATAGAAAATATTTACATTAGACGAAGCCTTCTCTGAAGAGACGTCTGGATCTTATCAGTTGCTACAAGCCGTCCTGAGTGTGGACAGGTCCTTGCTTATTGTGCAGTTCTTGTCCTTAACATGCTCAATGGCAATGTTGAGGAATTCGCACAGAATTTTCTTATGTTCAGGCGAGAGTATCTCGAGGACCTCCTTCCTCTCAGGGCGGTTTAGACACGAAAGATGAGGTGTAGTTACAAGTCACTGGCCCGTGTAGCTTGGAAATAAACTTATTAAACATTTAAATACTTAGTTTGATGGAAAAATATATCTACCACTCAAATTTCAAACCATATTGACCGATATATTTAGATTAAAAACAAAAAAAGACATATCATGACCTCTACATGAGTTTTTTAGCCACGCTAGATGGGGTGTAGTTATGAGTCATTGACTCGTAGCTTGGAAATAAACTTATTAAGCATTTAAATACTTAGTTTGATGGATATATCTGTCTACAACTCAAAATTTAAACCATATTGATTGATATATTTAGATTGAAAACAAAAAACATCTATATTGACCTCTACATGAGCTTTTTTAGCCACGATAGATGGGGTGTAGTTATGAGTCACTGGCCCGTAGTTTGGAAATAAACTTATTAAACATTAAATACTGGGAGTATATTGGGGAAAATGTCTATAAACAATAAATTTGAAATCCGTCTTTTGATTGATATATATTTATATTTTAAAATTATGAATTATTTATTAATATCCTAATTTTTCAACAATTACGACAACACTAGGTTTTATATTTGTACAATTATACAATGTCATGGAGACTGGATTCATGGATCAAATCTATAAATTTGGTAGGGTTGTATTAGAGGTCCTGTCTTGAGGCTTCCATACATTCCAAGAGGTGGTCTGGTGAGGCCTCTTTGGTTCTGTAGATGGTACATTGTAGGAAGGTCTTTACACCATCCTGGAAGAGGAGTGGTCTTGTATGGCCAGTTTTGAGCCTGGAAATATAGGTTACTGCCTGTCGGTTCATCCCACATTCCAGATAAACTCCAGACTTTTGGTTCAGATGCCAATGATGGAATATTTACTCCTATATTTTTGTTTGGATGTTTCATTTTTTGTATGCATTTGAAAGAGTCGAAATCAAGGTCTGAGTTAAGTATTACATCTGATGTTGCATTCTGTGTTGTTGCTCTTCAGTCCTATGTGGGATGGGATCCACTGGAAGGTGATTTATGTGTATCTGTGAAGCTTGTCTAAATTACCTCACTAGTTAGTGTCACTAACTAAATAGAACTCTGCCACTTTGTAAATGCAAACTGCCGTTCGAAGTTGTCCTACGTAGGTACTAGCTAATTAGGATCCTTCAGCTTGATCATGGACATTTTGGGCATTTCTTAGTTTGCCAAAGCTGTTATTGTGGTGTTTGATACACAGTGTGTGACCTTTATTGAGCTCCAGAACACAGCTTGCATTAGATGTACTAAACAGGACCTTTGGGAGAGACTGTTTCTTATCATTAAACAGCTGCTTATCATAAAACAGCTCGAGCAATTCTCAAGGATTGGAACCAAGAATTTAGGTTGTAACCACAGATAAATCAATTTGGGACATTAGAATTAAGATATCGTAATTAAGTTGCTCTTGTATAATAATGCATAGCTGATATTATGGCTTTGTCACCGACCCGAGGCCGCTAATCTGCTGAGTTCGGCAATAGATGGTTAATAATTTTGACAGGAGAGGTGACATTAATTTATAAAGATCAGTTTGAATTGAATCGCCAAATGCCGTGGTCCATTTGGACGAGGAAAGCGAAGACTAGAATGTGGCTGATTCCACACTAGCCTGTTCAGTAAATCGCTAACCATGACGTATGCACAAAGGAACGTGTGGCCATTGGACATGTGTCGGACCTGGAGGCTGTTGTTGGGTGCTGCGCTGCCTGGAGTATAGGAGCTCCATCTATTATTTCTTCCTGTGTTAAATCTGTATAAGACCGGTGGTCTTAATAAAGCTTTGTGTGTGTGATATTGATCAGTTTGAGGAGTTAGTACCTTTTACCCCAATGCCTTGGCACATGATTTGGTAGCAACTATAGAGAAAGGCTTTATTGCTGTAGCAATTATTCACTTTTTAACTTAGAGCAAAAGATGTTGCCTACCATAAAGGCCATAAATGTTAGCTAAACAGAACATCTTCATCTATTTCATCTATACGCGAAAAAGGCAAATACCTTTTGCGATAACAATATCATCAAAATACTTTATATTAGGTAGAATTAATTAAAGTAAGAAAAAGGCATCTTCTTATCCTGCAACTAAAAGATGATGATGGACAACACGTCGCAACATGCTCCTTCTCCAATATGCAGTCATCGGGCCAGAATGAAGAGGCACTAGCGTGAAGATAAATGAAGACCACACGTATAGTAACATGGTTACCTCGGGTTAGAGGGGGCAACACCTAGGAAGGTGAGGTGGACTATGAGAGTCATGGGATCGTTGGTTAATCTGGCAGCATGGCGACCTGGCTGCTGTATATACTGTACAGATATCAACAAATCGTTGATTTTTAATTATTCCAGACATGATCAAACATAATTTTTTGATTTATCAAGAATATCTAACTACGAACGCATTTCAAGCTGTTAGCCATCATCAACATGATTCAAGTAACATGAAGAATGAACTAGTTGTTTGTGAACTTAACGATTTGATTTCCGATTAAAAAAATCATATTTAAGGTTCAATTCATTTTGTAAATACATTCTAAACTTTCTACAAAATCTGGATCTCTAATGTTTTCATGCGTTGAATAATGTAAATAACTTATGTAAATAAACTTTTCTCCTTGTTTGGCGCAAGTATCCCTTGCGGGATATAGCGCTTTGGAAATAAAATAATTGTAATTGTAATTGTAAAAAACATGATTCAAGCTATACCTTTAATTTTAGTTTCACAATCAGGAAAAGCCTTTTTCTTAATTTATCCACCTGATCTCATTACAACTTCACATTTGTACGATTTTTATAACAAAATAGTTGACGATTTTGAAATATCCAATAAATATATTTGTGGGTTCGATTCCCGCCCCTGGACACTTTTATTTTTCCGTTCGCCATTACTCTTCATATTTTCACCCTTTCATACTTCATCCAAAAAAGTTAGAAATAGTAAATATTTCTCTTTGAAATAAATATTGATTTTTCACAGAAAAGAAACTTATACGGTGAAACTTTAAGTGTTGTTTTATAATCATACGCCGCAGTCCTTTATAATGTATTATAAGTTACTTTAAGTATTATTTACGAACGGAAAAATACGTCCAGGGTAGCCTAGTGGACATGGCATCTGCCCGGTAAGCGGAACGTTGTGGGTTCGATTCCCGCCCCCGGACACTTTTATTTTTCCGTTCGCCATTACTCTTCATATTTTCACCCTTTCATACTTCATCCAAAAAAGTTTGAAATAGTAAATATTTCTCTTTGAAATAAATAGTGATTTTTCACAGAAAAGAAACTTATGCGGTGAAACTTTAAGTGTTGTTTTATAATCATACGCCGCAGTCCTTTATAAATTGTTCATATCTTACTTTTTCCATCTTTAATAAGCCCACACTATATAAACCCGACTCTACTGAAAGCTTATTTGTGTGTTTGTCATGAAAATATACTTAATGTTATAATTCTTTATTGAAAATCGTAATTATATAAAAGCACATAGACAAATTTGAGTAATATGCAAATAATTTCAATTCACCTTTGCATATATAATCTATATTCATTATATAGCTCATAAAATAAATCAAATCCTTGTATGGTACCAGATTATAGCGTAGATGCCATAATCTTTAATTAAAAAGGCATATATTGGATCAAAATATCATTTATTTTACCAATATTTCAGTTGTAATCAGTAGTAATAACTAAATGGAATCCTCTCTTTCTTTTACCCAGTAAGAGACGCCTACGGAAGCCAACAGTACATAGACAGATAAAGCACATAGGCTATAGTTATTAACTAATATATGCATTTATTTAAGGCGCCAATTTATAATTCTAACAAATAGTATTTTAATAAAAACATTCAATCGGGTAAAACACGGGCGTTGCCCGGGTCATTCGGCTAGTATATTATAAACACAAGGTAATAAGACCAAATCCAAATAAATAAATAGTGTGTGACGTTTCGGTAACAGCGTTGTTACCATCTTCAGACAAAAGTATTGAATGAGAAATTTTACCACAGCATGTTTTTAAATAGTTACTGTTATCAAGTGTGTAAATCTGTTATCTTGTTTACACACTTGATAACAGTAACTATTTAAAACATGCTGTGGTAAAATTTCTCATTCAGTACTTTTGTCTGAAGATGGTAACAACGCTGTTACCGAAACGCCACACACTATTTATTTATTTGAATTTGGTCTTATTACCTTGTGTTTATAACATTTTAAAGTTTGTCAACAAATAATAACAAATGATATATTGATCCAATATATGCTTTTTTATTTAAAGATTTATTAATGATTTGCTCTATTTTACAAAAAATATATCACAATGTATAATCCATTTATAACAATCATTATTAAATATAACGATATAAAAATACATAAATGTGAAAAAATCTGAAAGATAAAATACATAAACCTAAAAGTTTAAATAAAATATCAAATTCAGTCATCATTTAGGCAGTAAATGGATATCCATTAAGGGACATAGAGAAAACTTTAAATAATCTTTCCTAGAAAGTTACATGATTACCTTATCCGAGCTTTCTAGCTGGACGATTTAATTATGGAGTTTATGGGCAAAGGGTGAAATGGACTATGTCTAATAGCCGGACAATACTCTCCTATCTCTATCACACCCCAACGACTAAGTTCCTAATTAAAATTTCCAAGATCCCATTAAAAACAACACACCATGCAAACCACAGATATCAACATTCCACGATTACAATTCTAAACTTTTTTTTTCTCTCTAAATTTAATTTTCTTTCCTTACATTTTTAAATCAAAATTATTTTCTCATCTTTTAGTAAAATATCTTTATTTCTTTGTGTGAAATATTTATTATAATATACTTAGTTTTGTGTGGTAATTGTTTTGTTTAAATTACTATTATCTATATAGTTTTTAATTAGTTTTGTTAATTTTTATTTCTAAATTGATATTGTTTTTTTTATTGCGTTTCTTGTGTTTTAAATTCTATTAATGATATTTATTTAACAATAAATTCCAATATTTTTGTATTATTTATAATATAAATGATAAAATTAGTTATTATAAATGATTTTTTTTCTTCAACAAACTTTAAAATCTTTAATTAAAAAGGCATATATTGGATCAAAAATGATGAATGATATTTTGATCCAATATATGCCTTTTTAATTAAAGATTTATTTATGGATTGCTCTATTTTCAAAACTTTAAAATGTGATGTAAATGAGTAGAATGAACTATTCAATTGTTATTAATCTCCTGCAATCTGAACTGGAAAACGTTGAAACGGTAAACCACCAATAAACAGATCCAACCAACCACTTTCCATTCATAATTTATTAAAAATAATCTTCAAAATAAATTAAAAACATTAAATAAATTTATAGTGGATAGGTTAACATTTTTGAAAGTTTTAAAATGAAAAAGTCGGTGGACGAGTTGGGTAACACCCTCGATTCCCGACAGTCATGAACAGGGATTGAATCCCGATTTAATATTTTGTTTTAATATGTGAATAACCTTCACATATTATTCATTGTTGCAATTATCATAAACTAGGTTTCTCTTTTTGAGTGTATAATGAAGTTATTTTGAAACAGGAATAACAAGTTTTAAAATGTATAACATATTTTATAAATTGATTATTCCTTAGAACTATGAAAAAATGAAAAATATACTAAATCGATGTGAAAAATGGTACAAAAGTATAATTTTATCACCGGATTCCAATACACGATTTCACTTTTGTACTATTGTACATATAGTTTGTCGTTGTCACACCCTTCAGGCATAAATATCTGTTTTATGACTTTTCCAAGATGCCTAAAAGACTATCTTTTTGTCGTTGAAGTTCAACTTGCACCGCATTGATAAGGGACAACAATCCGAAACGTATACGTTTGAAACAATCCAGGAATGAGTATGAATGGGAGAAATGCTCTGCGAAAGTATTTGTATACTACGACGAATACCTGAGACCATTAAACAGTCTTATCATCCTTCTTTCAAATGTTTCAGGGGCGTTACAAAGTCCAAATGACATTGCCTTGAACTTAAATAAGCCATCCGGCTTTTTTTGACTGATTAAGGAGCAGTATTTGAAAAATTTTGGAATAATTAAAAATAAACGATTTGTTGATATTTATTCCGACAGGAGGCGCAAGCTATCAGCAACTTTTAGTTGCACGATAAGAAGATGGCTTTTTAAAAAATAATTGAGTTGTACACTCATTATATAATCGGTATTTTGTATATTATCAAAGTTTTATAGAGTTCATTTTTTTTCTAAAGCATTACACTTCAATTTTTTTTACATATTGGTCCTTTTTTTCTAAACAAGTACTTATTTACAAAAGCTTTATATATAATTTATTAGTAATGCAAATCAATTTAGTTAGTGATTCCAAAGATTTGTGTCGAAATATTAGTGTATCGCCAAAATAATAAAATTAGCGAATAAAATATTTATCGAAACTCAATAATTTTTTATGTATTGTCAGTAGTTTAAAGATAACCTTAGAAATATTTTATTTATATGAAGAACTGACAAGTCCGAAAGCTTTAAAATAAAAAGTTGCACAAGAAACTTAGCCCTGGAATCTTTATTTATTTTATCAACTTCTTATTTGTTGAAAGTTCATCGGCGTAGTAAATTCAGGTATTGATTTTATTTTTTCTCGAAAAGATCGAATATATTTTTTGATCTCCTTAATGTTCCAGAATTTGGTATGATTCAAATAAACACTTTTGGAGCTAAGTGACAATCTAACTTTTTTGAAACAATCCAGGAATGAGTATGAATGTGATATATGTGAAAGTATTTGTATACTACGACGAATACCCGAGACCATTAAACAGTCTTATAATCCTTCTTTCAAATTTTCAGGGGCGTTACAAAGTCCAAATGACATTGCCTTGAACTTAAATAAGCCATCCGGCTTTATGAATTCGGTCTAATTTCTGTCTTCTTAGTCAATTTCAATTTTCCACTAAACCGATTTTGGTTCATCTACGAGTATAATTTTACTCCTCTCAGTCTAGAGCATTTTTAATTCGAGGTAAGGGTATTCTACTTTTTTGGTAACTTTTTTCAATCGTCTGCAATCAACAGAAAATCTCTAAAAACCCTTTTTATTTTTCAACAAGGCGACTGGTGAGACCCACGGGCTTTCTGATTGCCTAAGGATATTTGCGTCTAATATCTTTTCAACTCATTAGGGATTTTTTTTTTTGGCGATGACTGAACTGAAGATTTTTTAAATAGTTATCAACAAGTCTTAATAAATACTGTTTCATTATCAGTTGAACGTTCACGATTTGTGTGAAATTATCTCGATACTGGGTGGATCGTAGGTTGGAGTTTCAAGGGAATGTAACAAACGAAAAACCATCGATTGTACAAATGGGGTATGGTCATCAATTTCAGAAATATGAGAAGCACATTAAAGGGGGAATCAAATTGGTTTGCGTGCTGAAAATTGTGACCAAAGGCTCCGCCTTGCCATGTAGTACCGTAATGAGGGAAACTGGGGATTTAGTATTTCTTTCTCCAGAAATAATTTCTTAGAGCCCTTGGTTATTTGGCTTTTGATACCTAAGAATTCTGATGTATAAACCAGAAATAATTTTACTCGACTTAGGTGAAACTGCATGGTAATTTTCGACGTCAAGTCATTTTATAAATTTTGATCATTCGTCATTCTTTGCCTCTGAACAAATATATTTTTAAAATAGGCACAATTAATAAATGCTTTCGACGCTTTAGAGAAATTCCACCATAGAAGAACCACGTGGCTATATCTAAGAAGTACCAGAAATTACAAATGGCTGCAGCAAGAGTTATTGGCCTTAAGTTATATGATATTGTAACAAAGTATTTATTATTTTATTATAGCAAAGTATCATTTTTTATGTTTATATTTTGTTACTCTGTACACTTCGCTCTTTTGCTTCTCTTTTGTTTATCACTCATAATTTGTTCTTGCCTGAAATAAATTGCTGTCTCATCTCGAAGTTGGTCTTCCCTAACTTTCCACGTGGCAATATACATACCCATGGACGAAACAAATTGGTTGTTCGCGACTTCAAAGTTATACTTGACCCTTTAAACATCACATTGTTCAATTATCGATGGAAGACGTCTGATATCACTCAAAATGATACTTCAATGTCAA